CGGCCCCTCGGCCCGTGACGCTGTGCGCGCGCTTGGGCTGGCGCGACCCGAAAACGCCCGGTGCTTTTCTCCTCAGTGCAGTGGGTATGATCCCCCCGTGCCCATCTAAGTGCGGAGTCTGAGATCAAACTATTTCAGTTACGGATCTGAGTTTAGTCCTGCGGGAGACCTTCACCTGCCTTGGTGACAGCCCCAGGGCCTGATTTTCAGTTGCCAGAAATGGGGAAAAACCGTGTTAACGTGATGCAGCCAGGCTGCCAAACTCCACTTCCGATTCTGCTTCTCTCCCTTGCTGCTGCGGCACTTTTGATTTTCACATTTAGGAGAAAGTCCAGGTAAATTTTAGTTTTGGGACTTTGTGATCTTTAACCTACTTCAGACAGTTAAGACGTCATGTGAAGATACTCTGTACGAGATTATATGGTTTTTCAAGTGTTCATATGAAAAAATTCAATAGTACACTTTCAGAAATACAGCACGTACGCAAGTGTGTAGCAACTTAGACTAGCTTAATACATTGTGATAAAGTGGATGCACTGCTATCGGATCTTGAGCAGTTTCCTGCAAATTACAAGAAGGAAGGATGTCTTTAATTGCTCAGTTTCTATTGCAGCGTTGTTTTTAAATTGTAGGAAAATCGTTCTCTGTGGAAATAGCAGTGCTGTCATGCCTGTTGATTTCCTGGAGGTGTCATTTCTCCAAAATCCCTGAAGACAAGTTGCTTCATTGCCCTGAACTTTATTCTCCTAGTCTCAAATTTCTGCATTTTCCTAGAAATTTTAAAGACTGAACTTTTACAATTAGATTATTTTAGTACTGCAGATTTCTAAATATTTAAAGTATCCAAAATGCAAACCTTAGAGACTTATCAAATTGGTGATCTAGAGTGCATTTCGAAAACACTGAACATTGCATCAATTACAAGTTTCCTCAAGTGCAGTCAGATGTGAGAGCTTGGGCTCAGGGTCAATGTCTAAATCCTGGTTGGGTGAATCTGTCGCCCAGGCTAATTCCCAGCCTCCTCTGTTAAATGAGAATAGTGAAATCTTCCTCTTCTGATTGCCCCTCGGATTAAAGTGAAGTGGTAGAACGTGTGTCGAAGTAAGTCCTCAAGGGCTGTTGATTTCCTTTCATTCCAAAAATATTTGAGCATAGCAGGTGCAGTACTGTAGGTATTGGCTAAGACCTAGGAACACCAAACAAGCGCACTGATTCGGGTGGCTGCCTTAAGTCACTTGCAGTTGAAGAGGAAGTAATATATATATACAAGCTCACTATAACTAAGCAGTTATGGAGATTCTCTGCTAGTTTGGGGTGTTTTCTGGAAATTAGTGTGGCATCTGTTTCGTAGTTGGTGCCAATATATATATTCATTTAATTGAGTTGGAAAATAAATATGGGTTCTGAATAATATTAATGTCTGCAAGTCAATGTAATTGATAAAATCGGAAGTTTTCCACCCCCTGGTACCGGAGATCAAACTCCGGTCCTTGTGCTTGCAAGGCAGGCGCTGGAACCACTGAGCTAAATCTCTGGCCTGGAAGTGGTGCTTGATAGGCAGTTTGATTGCATTTGACACTTTCGTTGCAACTAGTTGGGGATTTTGTCTTAGAAATTATAAACGCTTTGCTAAACTATAAGAAATGTTCATTGTTAGTGGGGTTTTCTTGGCTTTTGAATTAAATCCGTGTAGGTTTGAAGCCAAGTCATTAGAAGTGGAAATGTGGGAACACTTGATTAGCGTGTGCTTCAGTCCTGTGAAATGAGGGCAGTGATACCTTTTCCCCGAGATATTATGTGGCGTAAGTGTGTTGACACCGGGTATGCAATGGCCAGTGAATGTTATTGCTCCTCTTTCATTAATCCTAAGTGCAAATTTTCCACAGAATGAGTTTGTTAATCTGTAGGGAGAGCAATCCATTCGTAATTAATAATAGTCTGCCTTTTTTTTAACCTTTTGAGATACTAAGAATTTAATCCAGGGCCATCACATGAGACAGTGTCTTGCTAAGTCACTAAGTTGCTTGCCCAGGCTGAGATCACACTTGGATCCTCATGCCTCAGCCTCGCAGAGTGCTGGGATTCCAGGCATGCACCACCATGCCTAGCTTGGTTTTGTTTTTCACTTGGAAACATTTTTAAATTTTATTTCCAGTTGCTGTTGGAGTCATTCACGTTGACAAATACTTATAGAATAATGACACTGGCCATATTTGTGGGAGGAATTGGCTGTGGTTACCAAGGCTGTAAAGGAAATTTGTTCTCAGCTTTTCATTCGCATGTGTCCCAAGACTGACCCATCTCCATCCCCTAAATACTGAGTGCCATTTTCTTTCAGAATGTTCTTCTGGAGTATCTTTTCCCTTCCCCCAAGACTCGTGTGCTGTAAGTCTCTTTGCTAGCTCTTTTTAAATGTAATTTTATAAAAATTTGTGCTAAATTTTCATTTGGGTAAGTTTCCTTTTCTTTTGGCTGAGAGTTTTATTCTTGAGAAATCAGCTTGAAATAAAGCTCTTATTCACCATCTTGTACTCATAATGAAGCAATCAAACATTTCTTTCCCATTATTCTACTTTGCAAGTGGTACCTGAAGGTTCCAGATGAATACAGTCCCCCAGAGTAGGACTGTGCAGAGCAGGGGAGCTATATAGAACAGAGTTCCAGTACAAAGTCGAAAGTGTAAGTTTTTCAGTAAGAGGAAGATACTGGAATTAAGAAGACTTTATATTAATTGAAGAAGTGATAAAGGTTTATATCAGGTAGACTGCAGTGAAACTAGGAAAGAATATAGACAATATTGGGAAATTCAATAATACCTTTTTTTTTTTTTTTTTTTTGTACTAGAGATTGAACTCAGGACCTTGGGCTTGCGAGGCAGGTGCGGTGCCCCAGAGCTAAATTCCTAGCCCAAATAATGTTTTTGATAGTTTGGGTATAAACTGATAAAGAGTCAATGTTATTACATTTTTTGAGCCATTGATTGGGGGTGCATTTGACAGAAGTTTAAATTACTTGAACAGTATAATTCTTAATTTCTCATGGTCCACTGTCTTAGAGTCATTCTTTTCACCTTCTCGAGTACTGGGCCACACTACTAATGTCTAGGCACAGATATTTAGTCATTCAGGGTACATGGACACAGACTTCCATATATACAGAAACTCACGAGCATTGCTAAGGGAACTTTTTGGAACTTTACTATTGCATTATTAAAAGCCCTTTTTAACCCTGGTAAAAAATATTTAGCTGTGTGCTTTGCCTTTTAGATGGGACTGTAGTAGTGGCTCTACAGGGTAAGAAATATCAAGTATCAAGAGAATTAAGTATGTCTTCTTTGCATTTTTGGTTGTGTGTGTGTGTGTGAGCGTGCATGCTTTACAGTTTATACAGTAGGATATATGATGTTATTACTCAGGATCCAGATATATAGATCTCGGTTTCCTAAGTTTTTATACCCTTCCTCCAGAGATAACCACTGTTTTATTGCCATTTAATTTTTAATCCACTTAATATAAGTTGAGTTGAGGAGAAAAACATTACTCTCTGCTTTAATTCCTATATAATTATTTTAAAAACAGCATGTCATTAGAACAGTGATGCTGTATTCATCCAAGTCAGTTTTAATCCTTGTAATGTTTATAAAGGTTGTTGCTTATCTTACACTCATAAGTCATTTCAGAAACTAAACAGTATTTAAATCTTGAGAAGGAATACTTTGCTATTTAATGGTGGTTACCTGATAGTTATTCAGTCAGGTTTTAGTCTATTTTAGTTAAATATATATAGAACTGAAGTTCAAATACACTGTTTTTCTGTTTTGAGGGAAAAAAAAGGTATCACATTTTCCATTTTCCCTTTGGTTTTAAGAAATCCAGGGACAAGGAGAAAAAATGAAAACCAAGACCTGTCATGTAAACGTACAAGATCCCAATAATGCATGTAACTCTGCTGTATACCTGAAATGTACCAATAAACTCAATGAGGAAAAAAAGAAATCACTGCAGTGGAGTTAAGAAACTCCAATGAGTTTTAGTTGTCACTTTATTTCTAGTTACTTCACCTTGAGCAGCGTACTTAACTTCAGTGTATCTAGTTTCCTCATTTAGAAAATTTAGAAATTGGATGGTATATATTATCAGATTATTCCAACACAGAAGTCATGATTCTAAATGTTCAGTAATCTTCCTCTTTGGGCAAGTGTGTTAGTTGCTTTTCTCTTCATTGCTGAGACAAAATACCCATTACCCAAATTAAAGGCAAAAGCTTTATTTATTTAGCTCACGATTTGTAGAGGTTTCAGTCCATAATTGGCTGGCTGCATGCAGAGTGGCACATGGTAGAGGGGGGTCACAGAGGAGAAAGAGCTTGTGGCACCCATGCAGTCGCAGAAGCAACAAGGGAATTTAACAGCATTTTTCTGCCCCTTTTATCTCATCCAGACCACTGGGGTTAAGGGTGGTGCCAAAAGATGCTGTACTGGTTTAGTAAATGCTCGGCCTTAATGCCAGCATCACACCCTCTAGATTCAGCTACCTCTGAAAAAGTCCTTAGGACTGCTTGAGGCTTGAGGGGGACATCCAGACCCAAACCATAACAAGTAAAAGGAAAGAAAGGCTGAAACATGAACTGTCTTTATCAGAAACAGTCCTGTAAGTGTGTATATGTAACCCTGTGTAATTTCTTATAACAACAAATGATCTGTTCTACCTCCAAAAAAGTGGAAAAAGGACCATCTCGCATGGATCACTATAGCTTATTTTCCTTTCTTCTCTTTTGCATTTGAGTTTGAAAGGGAGAATGTATGATTACTTGATGTGTGCAGCTTTAACTTAGTCAAAATTCGTTTTAGGGAATTTTTAAATAAATACACAATACAATTGAGTATGGTGAATGTTTAAATTTTTGAAAATTCATTACAGTAAAGATTCATTGTTATTAATCGCCCCAGAACACTCGTTATTTTGAACATATTCATTCCATTTTAGTCATTTCTGAAGAACTTGTATGAGTGTTTAGTTGCCCTGTTACGGCTGACTCAGTATCCTCAACTGACTCAAAATGTTTTAACTTTCAGTGTCATTTTGACTTTGGAAAAAAGCCACAGTCATAAGTGCCATATCTGGTGAATAAGGTGAATGGGGACACACCGCACAGGAATGTAAGAGGCTTAGGAGGCTGCTTTTCGGTAGAGTGTCACTCACAGCAGCATTCACAGCCGGCCATATTTTTATCGTTCCTACGAAGACACTCACAAAGAGGACTTAAGTTCCAGAACTGCTTCAGAAAGTGGCAAGAGTGATAAATGTGTTCGAAGAGAGGGGAAGCATTTTGAGGAGGGTCAATGGCAATGTGTCTTTTACTCTCATTAATCATTCACTGTATATTTTTTATCACACCTAGTGATATTAAGGTAATATATATGTATATATTAGGGTGATATATAATGATATTAAGGTAATATATATTATAGGTGACTAAAATGTATGGAAAAAATGTTGAAAGATGACCACATTTAAAAGGTTAGCAAAGTTATACCTGTTTTAACATTTTTGAGAAATTTCTTATTCATATCATTGCTATGACTTTAGTTAGCTCTTAATTCCTGTAGCATTTTTTTTTATATGGAAATATATCTCTTTAGTTAAAAAAAAAATCATTGGAGGGCCGGGGATTTAGCTCAGTTGTTGCAGCGCCTGCCTCGCAAGTGCAAGGACCCAAGTTGGATCGTTGGTGCCAAAAACCAAACCAAAACAAAACAAAAATCACTGGAGTCATTTTGAGTATGATCTTTAAAGACTCAGATACTGGAACGGATTCCCTGAATTTAAACCCCATGTCTGGAATTTATCAGCTCCGTATTTTGGGGCAGATTACTAAACTCTCTATCTTGGTTTCCCTATCTAAAATAAGGATCAGGTAGTACTTCCCTCAGATCCTTCATGGAGGTGTTAACATTAAATGAATTATTACATGTAAAGCACTAACAAAAATGCTTGGTAAGAAGTAGCTATTATAGTATATCGAAATGCTGTTGTGAAGTCAACGTTCTGTCCCAAGATAAGTTTGGAAATAAGTTTGTTACTAATGGTCCTAGTTTCCTGATGGCAGTTGGTTCCCTAGAAAGAATTATAATCAGTACAACACATCGAGAGTAATCATCACTTTTTTCAAGATGTGAATGAGAATCTGAAAATTTTTCTAACTTAAGTGACATAATGTTCAAAAATGTCTGTGTAGTTTAACAGCTTTTTAAAACTATATTTGAGATGCAATAATTTCACATATCCAAAGAGCACAATTTGATTAGTTTTGATGGCTACACAGATACCTGTCTCAAAATCAAATTTAAAAAGGGCTTAGGAAGTAGCTTAGTGTTAGAGTTCTCATCTGGCATCACTGCAGAAAATTTGAAAACTGTTTATCTTTATGTATCTATTACCTCCCAATTTTTCTCATATAAATAATTCTTCCTTTCCACATCCTCATTCCCCATCCCAAGAAACCTCTCTGCTTTGTCACTATATATTTGTTTACATTTTCAAGAGGTTTTCAAAACACAAAATGCTGTATGTCCTGGATTTTTTCATTCAGTATAATTATTTTCAGATATGTCCAGGCTCTTCCTTGTAACAATACTTAATTCTTTTTTTAATTACTGAGTAATGTTCTATTATATGTGTAGTTTATATCACAGTTTTTTTATCCTTTCACTTTCTGATGTGTATTTTGGTTATTGGATATCATGTTTTATATTTTGTCTATTTCCATTCTGAAACTATTAAAGATGTTATTCAGATCCAAGTCTTCAGATGGTACATGTTTTCATTTATCTTAGTTAAATTCCTAGGGATAGAATGGCCAGGTAGTATGGTAGATTTTTTTTTTTAACTTTGTAAGAAATTACCAAACTATTTCCCAAAGTGATTGTAGCTGTTCTACTTTTCTTTTGAGCGATTCTAGTAGGTGTGTAATAGTTTCTAAATGTGGCTTTTATTTGCATTTCCATGATGCTTAATGATGGTGACCATCATACTTTTAAACTATCTTTTTCTAATCCAGGATCACCTCAGTTTTCTTTTTTAAGTATTGTAGTTTTGAATTTTACAGTAGGTGTTCCATCTATTTTGAATTATCTTTTGCTGTGAGATATGACTGAAATTTCTTGTTGTTGTTTGCATATTTGACACCCAGTTTTTCCAGGACCATTGGTTGAAAAAGACTTATCATTTTCCCCAAGCTGTCTTTACATGTTTGTCAGTTTTAGTTATTCTTATGAATGTGGTCTACGTTTGCACTTTACCTTGATCTGTTTGCATATATTGACTCTTACTGATTCTAGTTGTACACAGCTTTGATTACTGTGGCTTCATAACAAGTCTTGAAATCAGATAGTGTTAACTCATTTACTTTGTTCTTTGTTTAGTGTTTCAGTCATTATAGATTCTTTGCATTTCTATGTGAGTTTTAGGTTAGCTCTTTAAGTTTTGGAGAAAAAGCCTGCTGAGATTTTGATTGCTATTTTATTGAATTTATAGCTCAATTTGGGGATACTTAATATCTTAGCAGTATTGAGTGTTCTAGCCCTGTGACATTCTTTTTAAATGAGTGCAGATCTTTTTAGTTTTTTTCTCAGCAATCTTTGGTAGTTTTCAGCATACAACTCTTTCATTAGATTTCATAAGATTAGATTTATCCTTAGGTATCACATTTATTGAGGTTCATAAATTTTTATTTTAAAATTTGATTGTTGCTAACTTATACAAATGCAATTGAGTGTACAATCCACTGAATTTTATACATGGGCAAAGAGTTCTACTTCTTCCTTTCTAAGATGGAACCCTTTTATCTCCTTTCTTTTGCCTGAGTACACTGGTCAGAACCTCCCCTCCAATGTTGAGAAGTGCTTAGAGTAGACATGCTTGTGTTGCTCATGATTTTAAGGGAGGAGTTCTAGTTTTCACCATAAGTCTCACGTTACTGGATGTTTTGTGTTCCTTTTTTTTGTATCAGAGATTGAACTCAGGACCTTGTGCTTGCGAGGCAGGTAGCGGAACCATTGAGCTAAATCTCCCCGTTTTCCGTGTTCTTGATTAGGTTGAGAAAGTTCCCTTCTATTCTTAGTTGCTGTTGTGTTTTTAATCAAGAATAGATGTTGAGTTTTTCAGGGTTTTTTTTTTTTTTTTTTTTTTTATTTTGGTGTTTATATTTTTTTT